TTGAGGTTGTGGACAGGTGTATTTTATACTGATAACAAGTTCAAACAGGTGCCATTAATACAGGTAACGAGTGGAGGACGGAGGATCCTCTTAAAGAAGAAGTTACAGGTCTGTGAGAGCCAGAAATCTTGCTTGTTTGTAGGTGACCAAACACTTATTTTCCACCATAATTTGCAAATAAATTCATAAAAAATCCTACAATGTGATTTTCTGGGTTTTTTTCCTCAATTTGTCAGTCATAGTTGACGTGTACCTATGATGAAAATTACAGGCCTCTCTCATCTTTTTTAAGTGGGAGAACATGCACAATTGGTGGCTGACTAAATACTTTTTTTCCCCCACTGTACACTCTTAGAACAATGGGTTCCAAAGGGGTTATTCGACTGTACGCACAGGGGAACTCTTTTTGGTTCCAGGTAGAACCCTTTTTGGTTCCAGGTAGAACACTTTTTGGTTCCAGGTAGAACCCGTTTGGGTTCCAGGTAGAACACGTTCTACCTGGAACCAAAAGGGCTTTACCGGCAACCAAAAAGGGTTCTTTAAAGGGTTATCCTATTGGGACATTAGATTCGACTGTAAACAACAGTCAATTCACAGCCAACCATATTCACTGCACTGCCCCAAGCTATGAGTAAATGACTGGGGATTGAACAGGAGTATGAGAGTCATTACCTTTGTTCAAAGAAAATGTTTCCTGCATTTTAAATCTTGATGTTGTAAGTATAATGAAGTGCTCATTTAAGCTTTCTACTCCGAATTTGGGCACACAATGTTTAAGCTCATTTAGAAATACAGTTGGATGATGGACAGAGGCTGTGAAAAGTGGTGGACGGTAGCGGTCGTCGTTGACCATGCATGGCTAATTCATTTTAATGGCAGGTTTTATTTGCTCTAACCGCTGCGCTTCGGTGGACTAATGTGACAGCATCTCTTCATCTAAATCAACTTTTCGCCCACCTCCCAAAAACGTTTCCATCCTACTCCTCAGTTCATTGCTCGAACTGTTAACTTTAATGACTCTGGCTTGTGTGAAAATGAAATGCCACTGTCATCACTCAAAGCCAGCGCTCGCCCTCATGGCAATGCTTCCGAGGCCTGTTCAGAGCACTTTTGATGTGTTAAATGTTGACAACCGTGGAGTCGCACTTGAGCAGTGGTTTTCGGGTGAGACGCCAGAACTTTTGAGCTTGGGACTATAAGGTTCTATCTGCAAAATGATGATTCTGAGATAACTGGCTTTAAAGTTCCAAACACTCATTGGTTTGAATGGTGTAAGCAATTTGTATCTTGTATTCTTTTGAACTTAACAACATGAATTGGGGTATAAGAGTACTTTATTCTGTAGGTAGAGAACATTGAACAGAACAAGGCTATGTCAGGGCGGCAGGTAGCTTAGTGGTTAAGAGCGTTGTGCCAGTAACCGAGAGGTCGCTGGTTCTAATCCCAGAGCCGACTAGGTGAAAAATCTGTTTATGTGCCCTTGAGCATGGCACTTAACCCTAGTTGCTCCTGTAAGTCCCTCTGGATAAGAGCGTCGACTAAAATGTAAAAACTCCATTAAAAAAAAAATGCAGATAGAACCTTATAGTCCCATGCTCTTGATTTGTCGAATGCATTTCAATGGGATACATTTGGACCAAAAACGAACAGTATGAACAGACCACAAAAACAACCGCTTGGACACAAATGGGTTTAGATGGATTTAGGTTTCAAAAGCCTATACATACATTAACTACTTGAAATAGAATCAGTCCTTGACTTCCTACCCTTCAATTACGTGCTAATAAGTGAGTGCCGCCAGGCTCACAGTTGTTATCTTTAACAACTATGCCTTTTTCTTATATTTTCATTTGCATATGAAGTAGCTTAACAAACAGAATATATAATAACCCACTACTCTTTTGATCTACTGAAATTACATTCCCATGCCATGTACATGCAGACAGGCAAGGGTCATTGGAGTCCGTTGTATTCTTTCTTATGTTGTACCTCTAAATTGGATGTCTCTTACATGTTACATGTTTAAAATGCATAGAGGGGCGTGGAATTAAGCTGCTGTAGGCTTCCCCAGAAGGATTCCTTTGATGATTCCAGTGCCTCTCACAGACATGGTATATGAACCAGCTATATAAAAAAAGTATGGTTACATTGGTGGGAGCAGCAATGAATGTCATAAAACATTCCTATACTCCCCTTCATCTCACCACTGATCTGATAGGTGTAATTGATAAAGTATAGAAACCATATTGTCCATTCAAGTATTAGTGGAAATTAGATGATGTAAAGACAAAACTTTATGAAGTTATTGGACATAGCACATATACATGCCTAAGTCTAGGATTTAATGGGCTGGTTCTACTCCTGAACCATAAAGCATGATCAGTTTCTTTATCGAAAGTTCTTCATTGTCCAGCAATTGACATACTCTGGATCTGGGAAACAGGTCCTACATAAATCTCTCAGAACAGGATTATGATTATTTGTGTATATCTTAGTTTGACAACTTTGTAAATAATTGAGTGTCCTAATACAGGTAATTCACTCAATGATTGTGTTTACTTGAGTGGGCTCATTTATCCATAGAGGATGACAGAACCAGCTATTTCTCAGTAAAGCTGTATACAGCAATTTTCAGTAAATGTACATCACCTAACCTAATGTATTTCCCCACTTCCCTAATGCTACATAATAACACACTTTGAATGAAAGACTGTGTCTGAAAAATAATAAAAATATTCTGAGACTGTTGTTTTATGATGCTCCTCAGCGCACCTTGGTGAGAGGGTGAGCATGGAATATGCAGGTGCAGTCGTAGTGCATAGATATGGCCACTAGGGACGGTATGTGAGCTGTAATTTGAACGGAACTTTAGGGCATTGGCGCATGGATGTATGTGGTCCAGATGGACGAGGTGGAAGTTAGATGGGTAACATAGCCTACATATAATGGTCGCAGAGGTGGTGGAATGATTGAGGTGAATATACAGCTGTAGGATCTTCATTGGAAAAGAATCCTGCAGCAACAGGATTGTAATGTTTAGTTCATAATACTGCTGTATCGTGGTTAGGCTATTAGCTGGTCAAAATGAGGCTACATGAAAAGTGGAATACTGATAATATAACCATGTGTTTTCAGTGAATTTATGTAAATCACGAAGCTCATCTGCATTTCCTGCAAAGAAGTAAATATATCAGCAACAAAAGAATGCTCAAAATAAGATCCTACATTTGTAGCCTACAGCTGGGCGAGATTGATTAATGTTTCAGTCTCATGTAAGCTACTCATGTTAGACCAAATAATGTGTCCTTTATGAAATTCGACAAAAATATACAACCGAATTAAGTTGTTAGACAACACAATACATTATGTAAACAACAATTTCAATGTGGAGTGTTTGAATGCATTAATTCCTGCGTTGTCGGCGATCTACAGGTGATTGCTCCTTCAGTCAAGTCAAGCGGTCCTGTAGCGTATTCCAAAGGCGCTGTCCACTTTCGTGCTGCTGAAAGGTGATGTGACCTGGTAGATCTAACCAAACAATTACAAGATATTTCCGTTTATGCTCAGTCACAAGAAATATCCTTTAATTGTAAGATTATGCCTATCATGCATCTTCATCTTGCGCTTGAGACTTCTTCTCAGCACCTGTCCTCTACTTGTGAGCTGGTAAAATAACAAATTAAATAAATGGTCATGCCTAATTTATACCCATCCTCTTTAAATCGATGGAATTGTAAACCTGCATGAAATTGGATTCGGCTCAATATGACATGACATTGATTCATCCTCAGATATTAGCATATAGGCATTCAACAATTACCATAATAGTTATCGCCACAGAAGTGGCCCATTAATTCGTTTGTTCAGCGTTTTGTGAAGAGTACAATCAATCAGTTAGTCAAGCAACGCGTAAAGGCATAATCGATTAATCAATCAATCAGCCTTCATTTGCATATGTCTGTAGTTCCTCAATCTTCGCTTCTGGCCAAATCCCACTGTTGCCAAGTCAATTAGGCTTTCTTGCTGGCTGTTTCCTATGACCAGAACTTCTGCGCTGAAGAATGTTAAGGTCTGTCAAATGTCTGTCCATCATCCATCACTTTTCACCGGTGATCACGTTATGGCTAGATCCCCTTCTTCCGCTCAACATCTGCGCCCGCGTCTTCTCTTACCCCGTCGCTCTGCTCTTTCAGTTTCTGGACATCCGCCTATATATCAAATCATAACGTAAATCATAATGCATTTTGGCAAGCAGGGGCAGAACCATATTGCCTAATCTAGTTTTCGATCAGACTACCAATTTATATAATGTAGGCCTACCGCAATAAATAAGACTATATTCAGTGTTTGCAATTATTTAGTAGCTTTCATCCAAGCATACACTGCATAGTTGTCTATCAGCCTCAAGTAGGCTACTCTAAAAACACTGCGCTCTGCCCGCGTCTCTCTCCGGCTGGAACAAATTCCATTTTACCCGGCTTCTCCGGACAGCACTGAGAAGTGAAGTCTCTGCAGTCACGTGAGTCGGGTGAACAAGCGACTGCACGATTCTCTCTCTCTCTCTCTCTCTCTCTCTCTCTCTCTCTCTCTCTCTCTCTCTCTCTCTCTCTCTCTCTCTCTCTCTCTCTCTCTCTCTCTCTCTCTCTGTGATCACAGGGGGGTGTCCCTCCGCATTTTTGCAGCTTGCAATGCTTTTAGACAGGGTGAGCGCTGGAGAAGGCGAGAGCGAGAGACAGAACGCGGGGCTCCGCTAGCTGTCTTTGAATACAACCGCGGGTTTCAAAACCTTTCTTCCCTGATTTCCCCCTCACTTTTCGTTTTAAACAGTTATTTCCCTTGCTATAAATAGAGTTTTTACGTTTTCTTTGGTGTTTCCTGCGTTTTGAGGGTTCTGAACGACAGTTGTGATTTGTAGCGTTTTTGGACATTGTTTGTGGTGCCCCATTGGATTGTCGAACAGCCGAGGAAGCTTGGATGAGCTGCTTCGCTAAAAGCCGGAGATGGAGTTGCTGTTGATCTGCCTTTCGCTGTGGATATTGCAATGCAATTCTGCCGGAGCAGACTCCATCATTCATATTGGTAAGAACCCTGGACAGCTTTAAAGGGGTTTTAGTGAGACGTGCTGAAGAAACATCTAGAACATATAACACTTGTGTAGCAGAGACAAATGTATGCGATGCGCGTAACTGTAAAGCATGAAGGGCAGCCTCAGATATGTTTTGCGGTATAAATAATATATTTTGACTGCGTCAGATGTAAACTGAAAATGTGGATGCAGTCAATGTTAACTTAAGTTATAGTCTCTTTTTCCATCTTGGTGTAGGAAATTTAAATATTTGCCGACGTCATTTTTTAAGCTATCAGAGAAAGTCTAGCTAACAAGTGAATGGAATGGATCGATTTCTTAAATGTCAATCATTTAGCAAATACATTACATTTCTTTTCACAAGTAGCAGTGCCTTTTACCCCATCAGCTTTGGAGGAATATGTCACATGAGCGGTTCACGGTTTGTTATGCACTCCCCTCCTAAATAAGACCACAAGCCTTAACTTTTAATGGAACGTGATCGCAATATCAATAGTATAGATAGGTTGTCAATAGGTTTTCATTGTGAGAGATGCAATACTGGCATTACACTGGATTGTGTAGACTAAACCTCGAGGGAGCTTTTCTGTCAAGATATGCTTGATGTTTTATCTGCCAGTTTTCCAGCACCTAAAAAGCATGAGTTGTCATTGGATTGTGGAGACAGAATAAACTCATGATGATACAGAATGTTAAAGAGAGATGGCGGGATTTAAATTGATGCCCGATCTCCACAAAATACATGCAAAAATGCTAAACTAAACTATAGCCTATACTACCGGTAGTCAGATTATTTTAAAAACCTGGTTTGAAATTGAATTGATATGCCCAACCTCCACGATACATCCCACACCTTCCACAGCCCCCCCCACCCTCTCTCTCTCTCTCTCTCTCTCTCTCTCTCTCTCTCTCTCTCTCTCTCTCTCTTTCTCTCTCTCGCTCGCTCGGTCACTCACTCAAACACGCTCGCGCGCAGGCACACACGCGTGCAAATATATGGTAGTCTATTTCTTTACAAGAGTAATGGATGTGCATATTCTCAACATATAGGCAGGTATATAGGCATATTCTCAACACCGATCATACTGCTGTTGCACATTTGCACCACCTTTCAAAAACAAGATGAAACACGAGTTTATTACACATTTCTATAATATTAGGCTACTGTTGCATACCCTAAATGTGTCCCTTACTTTGTACTTATCATACGGCATATAGGCCAACATATAATGTATTATTCCACATTGCACTGCTTACCAAATAGGAGAAGCAAGTGCTCTCTCTCTCTCTCTCTCTCTCTCTCTCTCTCTCTCTCTCTCTCTCTCTCTCTCTCTCTCTCTCTCTCTCTCTCCTCTGGGTCATTCTCCAGGGAAATTGCGGTGTGATTTTAATATTAAAATACCCTAATAACCCTGATAACCCGGATGACCCAGATAATACAATTAATCATCCCACTTTTTATTTAATTATACAACACTTGGTTTATGGGAATATCTGTGGTTGATTTTATGTGGGGATATCTGTGGATGTGGCTATTGGGTTATCTCTCTTTGTTTAATGTGTGAGCGTGTCTGTGTACGTGCAAGTACAATAGTTTGTCTGTCAGTATCTCGCTCTCAATCTTACTCTCTCTCTTGCTCTTTCAAAGATAGTGCTAGGGAGCTTAACGGAAGCTACACTCACGCAGTAAATGCCTTAAATTGCTTAAATGTGCCTTCATTGTCAGAATACACCATGCCTCTAAGTATATCATCACTTTATTTTGTAGGTTTCCCATAATACTTCACTCAATGACACTGGTGTATATGTAACCCACTGTACTACAGTACGCTGTCCTCAATATACACCAGCCAAAGAGTTGCAACTGACACGCAACTATAGTGGTCAACCACAGGTCAATTTTTCCTCTTGATATTATGTCCTCCATAGAGATCTCTATGTTTTCCTACACAACACGCTTATGCTCTCAGTTCAATAGGATGTGAATTAAATACTGTTACTCTCGCTTTCCAAGTTGTGAAATGTATTGTGAGTCGCACAAAATAGCGAGGCGCTTTTGCTCTCAGTAGGGACGTCAAATGTTCAGGCTGCTGCAGACACTATGGAGGTTCTAGTCGATTTTTAAACTCTAAATGGTTAAATTAGTGAGAAATACAGTGCCTTCAGAAAGTATTCACACGCCTGGACTTTTTCCACATTTTGCTGTGTTACAGCCTACATTTAAAATGAGATGTTGTGTCACTGGCCTACACACAATACTCCATAATGTCAAAGTAGAATTATGTTTTTAGAAATGTTAACAATTTTAAAAAAAATAAAAAAACGCTGAAATGTCTTGAGTCAATATGTATTCAACCCCTTTGTTATGGCAAGGCTAAATAAGTTCAGGAGTACACATTTGCTTAACAAATCACCTAATAAGTTGCATGGACTCACTCTGTGTGCAATAATAGTGTATCCCACACATACAATTATCTGTAAGGTCCCTCAGTCCAGCAGTGAATTTCAAACACAGATTCAACCATAAAGACCAGGGAGGTTTTCCAATGCCTCACAGAGAAGGGCACCTATTTGTAGATAGGTACAATTTTTAAAAGCAGCATTCATCATGGCAAAGTTATTAATTACACTTTGGATGGTGTATCAATACACCCAGTCACTGCAAAGATACAGGTGTCCTTCCTAACTCAGTTGATGGAGAGGAAGGAAACCACTCAGGAATTTCACCATGAGGCCAATAAAACAGTTACAGAGTTTAATGGCTGTGATAGGAGAAAACTGAGGATGGATCAACAATATCATTGTAGCCCTGGAATTGAACCAGGGTCTGTAGTAACACCTCTAGCAATGAGATGCAGTGCCTTAGACGGCTGCGCCACTCGGGAGCCAATACTAACCTAAATGAGTTAAAAGAAAGAAGCCTTTACAGAAAAAAAAACAATTCCAAAACATGCATCCTGTTTGCAATAAGGCACTAAAATAAAACTGCAAAAATGTGGAAAATTAATTTACCTAATGTCCTGAATACAAAGCGTTATGTTTGGGGCAAATCCAAAACAACCCATCACTGAGTACAACTCTTCATATTTTCAAGCATGGTGGTGTCTGCATCATGTTATGGGTATGCTTGTCATCGGCAGGGACTATGGAGTTTTTTTTAGAAGGATAAGAAACAGGCAAATCACAAGCAAAATCTTATAGGAAAACCTGGTTAGGTCTGCTTTCCAACAGACACTGGGAGACAAATTCAACTTTCAGCAGGACAATAACCTAAAACAGAAGGCCAAATATACACTGGAGTTGCTTACCAAGAAGACACTCAATGTTCCTGAGTGGCTTAGTTACATTTTCGACTTAAATCGTCTTGAAAATCTATCACAAAACTTGGAAATGGTTGTCTAGCAATGATCAACAACCAACTTGACAGAGTTTGAAGAATTTGTAAATTAATAATGTGCAAATATTTTACAATCCAGGTGTGCAAAACTCTTAGAGATTTACCCAGAAAGACTCACAGCTGTAATCACTGCCAAAGGTGATTCTAACATGTGTTGACTCAGGGGTGTGAATACTTATGTAAATAAGTTGTTTCTGCATTTCATCGATACATTAGCAAAAATTACTAAAAACATGTTTTCACTTTGTCATTATGTGATGTTGTGTGTAGACTGGTGAGAAAATGTGAACAGTTTGTATTACTACCTTACAGTACACAAGCTTGCATTTCCACCCCATAAAATTGAGTGGAATTGCACATAATTGTTACCTCAGATTGGCGAAATTAGCATAAACGACCCCAAATGCGGTAGTCCGGCCCTGCCGTGTCAAGATTAATTGAAGTTAACTAACAAAATATGTAGTTTGTTCCCTTTTCCGTGATGGCAGTCTCCTGGAATCATCTTCCGACATTCCAAAATATAAATATACAAGTGTTGCCTTACACTTACCATGTTGGTGACCCACTTGAATCAAAATGCAACACTTCAAAATGTAGCTAGCTGTCTTCTACAAATTGTCCTCTAACCAGTGATGTACACATTATTCCCAGATTCTGTGTGGTTTTTGAGCTGTGTTCGTTTTAACAGGACGTGCAACCTCATCTCCCCCCTCTCGCTTAATTGATTTCAATGTGATAATCGATAGGAGTGATTGACAAAACAGTGTTGCGTTTCTCTTTCTGTTTTGGTGACCCCATATCAAAATGCAACATTCCAAAATGTAGCTGACTGTGTTCTGCAGGTTGTCCTGTGACCAGTGATAGAAAAACAGTGCATATGCCCCTTATGGAAATACAAGCAATATGATTACTATTGTTGCACATGCATGTGTAGATACTACATTTTATGTTTATGTTTTCAATATATCATGAACTGTTTCTGCAGTATCATTTTATAAATGGATAGATACTATGATTTATCAAATAAACCTGTTGGTGAATGAAAAAACCATGGGCACAGTTCACAGTTTATTTTACCTCCAAATATTAAAAAAAAAAAAGTAGGCCTATATTGATTTATTTTGCTCCAACAGGTGCCATATTTGAGGAAAATGCTGGAAGGGATGATGAAATTTTCCAACTTGCCATTTCTGACCTAAGTCTCAACGACGACATTCTACAAAGCGAGAAAATCACCCATTCTGTAAAACTGATCGAGGCTAACAACCCATTTCAAGCGGTGCAGGAAGGTAAGTGATATCCGGCAGAATATTTTATTTTTATCGATTGCTTTGCTGTTATAGCTAATTGCTTAGGGCCAGAGGGTTGGGGACACCGTTTCAGCTTTGTGGTTTCTGATGTCACTGGCATAATAGCATGAGGGTGTTTATAATCTTATCGTGGTCAAAGACTTCCAGGCTTTTAAAAATTATTTAAATTTTCTGGTTTCCATAGTTTGTTGTAATATCTACTGCAGTCTAAATTAGTAGCTAGATGTAAGTATTGCGTCAAAGTTCAGACTGGTGATTGTTAACTTAAATCTCTTTTCTTAGATGCAGATAATCAGCTTTAGAATGTGGATAGATTGAATCTCACTTTTTAATGTTGTTCATTGTTGGATATTGTAGATTCAGATCTACAGCTTCACAGGGCTAAAAGTACTTGTCTCTTGTAGCTTGTATAGTCAGTCAGACAGTGCTGTTCAAATCACTGAGGTATAATAAGATTTGGAGACTGCATCCAAGATTTCCGATCGTTGTTTTCAAGGTAATCTACTAAGGTTCACCGTCTATATCCAGGTTGCGTCTGGTTTATACGGACCAACATCACATGCGCACTAGCACTCAGTGTGCAAAGGGAGCAGCGAGAGCAGCGATGACGTCATCACATCATCCACAAACATGGCAGACATTGGATTAATATAAAATGTTAATATCTTTGGCTGTGAGTGATTGACAAAAAATCAGCCTCTCAGCAACAATTATTTGAATAATTCAATGGATTTTCTGTACAGAAAGGTGATGACTAAAGTGTATTTTTAGGAATTTTCTAATCTGACTTTTAATCTGACAATCTGAATTGTCTTTCTGGGTCGGGCATCAGTTAAACTGCAGTACCGAAGCAAAACTGTAGGAGCAGTCGAAACCGTGCTTCTAGACCGGAACAATGGCCCCTTGGTTCAAATATGATGTCACCCAACAGGTGACATCATCACAACACATCATACAGGTAACTGCCAAAATAAAGGAAACACCAACCTATATTGCAGCCAGAACAACTTCAATGCACCGTGTCTGGAACTCTATTGGAGGGATGAGACACCATTCTTCCATGAGTAATTACATCAGTTGGTGTTTTGTTGAAAAAACACTGTCTCAGGCGTCGCTCCAGAATCTCCCATAAGTGTTCAATTGGGTTGAGATCTGGTGACTGACACACACACACACACACACACACACACACACACACACACACACACACACACACACACACACACACACACACACACACACACACACACACACACACACACACACACACACACACACACACACACACACACACACTTTGTTCTTCTATCCTCATTGGGACCTCAAATTAATTTATATTCAAAATCCTATTTTCCCTAACCCATAACCCCAACCCCAACCCTAACCCATAACCCAAACCCAAACAATGATGGCCTGGCAAGAGGCCTCCTGTGGGGACAGGGGGTTGGAATAAATAAATAAATAAAATAAAAAATAAAGTAAGACAACACACACACCCTTTAAACCCTCTATGCTCCATTGATACCCCTCTTTCAAAGTCACTGAGATCTCTTCTTCAAGCCATGGTAGCAAAAATAATGGCAACTAGGCATTTCTATACATGACCCTAAGCATGATGGGATGTTAATTGCTTAATTAACTCAAGAACCACACCTGTGTGGAAGCATCGTCTTTCAATATACACTGAACAAAAATATAAATGCAACATGTACAGTGTTGGTCCCATGTTTCATGAGCTGAAATAAAAGATACCAGACATTTTCCATTTGCACAAAAAGCTTATTTCTCACAAATGTTGTGCACATTTTGTTTACATCCCTGTTAGTGAGCATTTCTCATTTACCAAGATAATCTATCCACCTGACAGGTGTGGCATATCAAGAAGCTGATTAAACAACATGATCATTACACAGGTTCACCTTGGGCTAGGGCCAATAAAAGACCACTATAAAATGTGCAGTTATGTCACACAACACAATGCCACAGATGTCTTAAGTTTTGAGGGAGCATGCAATTGGTGCTGAGGAGAATTTCTGTCTGTAATAAAGCCCTTTTGTGGGGAAAAACTCATTCTGATTAGATGGGCATGGCTCCCCAGTGGGTGGGCCTGGCTGCCAAGTGGGTGGGCCTATGCCCTCTTAGGCCCACCCATGGCTGTGCCACTGTCCAGTCATGTGAACTCCATAGATTATGTATTTCAATTGACTGATTTCCTTATATGAACTGTAACTCAGTAAAGCCTTTGAAATTGTTGCATGTTGCATTTATATTTTTGTTCAGTATACTTTGTATGCCTCATTTACTCAAGTGTTTCCTTTATTTGGACAGTTAGCTGTATATAACCTGAGAAGAACACAATAGTATTAAAACCGTTGTCAAAGGCTTAGAGAAGTTGTCAAAGAGATTATCGACCTTGTCAGACATACAGAATGGCATAGAAGGAGAGTGGTGAACAATTATACAACTTTTACATGCCTCCCCTCCCCAACATAATGGTAACTTAAACGAGGAGTACTTGGCATATGTTGAAGCTTTTGTTAGAGCTGTTGTAAGGGATTGTTTATTCTATTGAATTGGACCGAATGTTCAGCTTGGCAAGCTAAATGTTAGTGGTTGATTAATGAACTGGATAGTAGTATATTTTCCAAGGCCATGATGGTGGTATTGAATGATGTTTCCATGGACTGTGAAAGAGAATGGAACCCTCATAAAATGAACCTAATAGCTAGAGATCTGCTACAGCCATTTATACCTCTCCTTCAGCAACGTTGTCGACTGCATCCTTTCACAATGGCCTTGAATAGTTATTCCATTACAAAAGCGCTCAAATAGTAATACCCATTGATTCTTAAAGAATATAAATGGCTCATGAGCTTAAGTTCAATTGCCGTGCCCCATCAGAACCCAAAAACATAAGCTTGTTTTACTCCAGTATTTGTAAAGCATGTAGATGTTAACAAACTCTGTATATACAGTATAGCCTCAAAACATGGTTAAAACTATAATTTTGATATCATGGATAGTCAGTCCCAGTATCCATAGCTTTTTCTATGAATTTGAGAGTGGTTACATTTCTCCAAGCCCATTCCTCAGCTTTGTACTAAAACAGAGGCGCATTCACTGCTTTGTTATTGTTTAACCTCTTAAGGGTCTGACCCTTTTTTTCAATTTTCACTTAAAATGACATACCCAAATCTAACTGCCTGTAGCTCAGGACCTGAAGCAAGGATATGCATATTCTTGATACCATTTGAAAGGAAACACTTTGAAGTTTGTGGAAATGTGAAATTAATGTAGGATAATATAACACATTAGATCTGGTTCCATCATCTTTGAAATGCAAGAGAAAGGCCGCAATATAATATTGCAGTTTAGGCGCAATTTGGATTTTGGCCACTAGATGGAAGCAGTGTGTGTGCAAAGTTTCAGATTGAGCCAGTGAAGCATTGCAATACTGGACTATTTTGTATCAAGTCTGACCAAATGTGCCGAATTGGTCAATTGATACATTTTCAAGTACATAACTATAGAGAACATACAAAAATGATATGGTAATACAAAATGTAAGTTTAGACACTCCCAGGACTGTCATACATGATGGATCATTAGCTTATACACTAACTTTCACACATCTAGATGGACGGGCAGGGGGGACAGTGAAGTTAGATTAACAAGAATTGAAGCTTTCTGTCCATATAAGACATGTCTATATCCTGGAAAGTTTGCTGTTACTTACAACAGTCATGCTAATCACATTAGCGCACGTTAGCTCAACCGTCCCATATACGGGACACCGACCCTGTAGAGGTTAAACTGCAGATTCTAGCTTTAACTGAATACTGAAGTGATTTTTGCACGATAAAAGTGAGGTGACTTCTATTTAGAAATGTGTTTTCTTATCTCGTCCTAATTCAGAGTCGTTGCCTATCATCAAACCATGTCTAAACAAACCATTGTCTGTTAATAAAGGGCATCTACCTTTACAGCCGGCGATAACTTACCAGCGCTGAAAGTGTAAGAGATGACAACAGATGTGCATTTCTGGTTGCATACCAAACAAATCAGTGCAGAAGAGTTAAAATACGACAACAACACAAAGGTCTACTGGGGATCAAGTCTGATTGATAGTGAGCCCAAATACATTTAAAAGGGAACCTACTGGTTGTTGTGCGCTGGAAATTCCTGCTGCTTAGGTTATAATGATTTAATTTGGTTATTATCATAGCTTACCAAGTCACTATTTCCATACTAGCAGTGCTATTTCATTATTCTGAATTGTTGAGTGGGGGTGTTTTGGAACTCTAGGGTCTTACCGGTCGATGAGGCACCCGGATCAATGAGCCTTCCTGGGCCTGGGGTGTGTGTGAGATGAGTGGGTGGTTGAGTGGCAGTAGGGTCGCGTTGACCTTTGCTTTGCTCTTTTGTTCACATTCACCCTGTGACTGCCACTCAGGACCCTGCCAGTGTACCACCAGGGAGGAGGAGACAGGTAGGGCTGGGCAGAAGAGTGAAGAGAACAAATATCAGAAATAGAATGTGCAGGAGTGAAGGAAGAGTGTGGGAAGAGAAGTGCTTAGGAAAAGAAAAGGGTAGGAACGAGGAAAAGAAGGAAAGTGAAGGGGAAGATCAGTAGGTGGGTAAGAGGAAAAACAGCTGTTGCATTAGAATACCTGTCTCCGTGGTTAGAGGGATGAAGGTGATGAGAGCTTCCATATTTGCATGATGTTGATCACTGGATGATGACAGGTTTGGGTTAGGTGACATCCTTCACGTCAAGACTGATATGATAGATTCAGGTCAATTCTTTTAGAATTGAAACCTGCGCATGACTCAAATTGACAAACAATCAGATCAATAACAAGGTCGTTTGAGTTATTTCGGGGTATCAAATAACTACTGTTAATTATTCATTGTGGCAGATTTAGTCACCCAGTTGAGATGCAGTAATTTGTTGAGGGCTTTGTGCCAATACCCCCCAACACCCACT